TAGGAAACAGGTGGAGGACTGCCTCTCCTTTCCAGTCCCAATCCCATTATTCTGCAGTGATATCCCCCTATATAAGGGACCAACGGATATCCGGCCTCTATTGCTGATTGAAGATCGGCTCACCAGCTGTTCCCTCGAAGTACTGGAAGACTGGTGGAAAAAAATAGTCGAACATCCGGAGACCAAGACAATCTACCTCAAACCTGAAATTCACAAAGCTCTCTTGGCCATGTAAGTTCTCCTTTCAATTCTTTTGTAAGAAAAAAGCTCGTTTTCCCTGTTACGCCAACATCTTTTTATGAGAAAGCTCAAGCATGTTCACAAGGGAAAAACAGGAGAAAATGAAGAAGAAAGTCAGGATCGAGAAATAAAAACTTCCATAAATAAATCTTTGGCGTACTCCCAATATCCCTTGAGGTCCCGCCTCCGTCACGAAGAACGTCATTCTGGCGATTCTTCGCCAGATTGTTTCATTTGGTCGCACAGTTCATTTACATCACCAAATTCTTATTATCTTCATGAAATGATTTCACCGTCAGACTTGGTGAAACTAACTCCAATTCCTCCCTCAGGGTTTTTCACCAAACGCCGTGAAATGTTCATCACACTTCAATATGCACCAAATTATCGCCACATGTCACATCCCTAGAGAAAAGAAGCAATTTCTCATTTGAGGGTCCTGCAGGGCAGATGCAGGCTTTGGTCTTCTCATTTCTGTCCAATTGGAAAAGATTCAACTTCCACAGGAATGATGACTTTCAGGATGTAGGTTCGCATTCGCAGTGAAATCCCATAAATCCCACTGAAATAAATCCATCACAGTTAGATGAAAACATGCAAATTCACGCATCTATCCAATTGGACAGTTGCATTCCAAATGCAGAGCCTTAACAACCCAGAAAGAGTCTTGCTCTCTTGAAGTCGTTCCAGTGACCAAGTTTGCTAGTTAGATACTCTTGCTCACTTTTCTGAACCTCAAGCCTTAAAGTTGCTAGAAGCCATGTCGCCTTTAATACACGGAAATGCAGAAATTGTAATTCAGTGTCGTACTGAACTTACATACATGTTCACAGACACAGGGAGTCCAATTACACAGGTCCTCCCACGAAGCTCCCGGAAGTTTGATAGGATTTTACAATCTCTATTGCCATCACAAGTCTGATAAGAATCGAAGAAGAATTCATTCCTCAATAGGATCACAATTGCCGAAAATTTCATGTTATTCATGGAAGCATGCTTTGATACGGGCTCATACAAATTAGGTGATAAAAGAACCTGTGATGTTGTGTTTGGTGAAATAAAAAATAAGAATTTGGTGATTGTCTCCAAATTGGAGTAGATTCATTGTGATCTGGTTATGGAATCAATATTTCAGCAGACTTTCGTGACGATTTCTTTATTAGTGGTGGGTGATGTGTCCTTAGGAACACATGTGCAGCCATTGCTTTTAAATGTCCAAATTTTGTGTTAATTAATTAATTCATTGGAGTGGTAGGCAGATCCTTTTATCGTATCCTGACTAGTATATAAGAAATCAAGAGCCAGGATTAGCCGAAAAAGGAGGGAAGCTTGGAAGAAACATTAAGAGAGGTATTCTCACAAAGGAGAAGCTTCCTTAAGTAAGAGTTAGCTTGTGGCACTTCGTATTCGGTTATTTGGAATATGCTGCTGTGGACGCCATGGATAGAGTAAGAATATGAAGCTTAAGCCGATGTTTTCAGTACGCCGTCATATATATGAACTCTCAGCTATTCATCGATAGTGTCTTTCTCAACTTTGAGAGCATAAGGATCTAGATTGTTAGGTGTCAGACCTTGCAAAGGTGGTGAGTTTTTTGCTGATGCCTTCCAGAGATTGAAAGTTACTAGAAAATACGGGATGAAAAGGAAGCGCACTAATTTCCTGAGTGATTTCTTGAAAACCCCGATTTCCTTGTCATACAACATGGCAGAGGAAAATGAGTGCGACGTCATGCTGTGACGTCAGAACAGCCAGTCTATATACAGGGCGGGCCAAAAAAACCGCACCAATTTTCGCGCAGACGTCGTGTCGTACTTCCTGTCTCAGATTTTTCAGCAAGTCTACCACAATTCTCCTCCTTCTCCATTAGATAACTCATTCATCATTTGATTCACAGAGTATTGCTTCTCCTTACACAAGGCCTTAACCATTATCAGACGAGTGTCACAACTGCTGCGCCACAGAATGCTTTTTTATGGCCTACCGATACAAATGCTCTATCGCAACTTTTTGGGAAAATGCTCCGATATTAATTGAATAATGCTCGGTTAGAGAGTGTTTACGAGCTCCGTAGAAAATATCTGGCTTTCAGCGCTAACACGGGAGATTTAAATCCGTCCGATCAAGGTTAATCCGAGCTTTGTTTGATGATCAAAATCATCATAAAGCTTCAAAGTTCCAGAGCAAACAAAAGCTACTTCAAAACGGCGCACCAAGAGGAGCCATACGCTGCACAAAACTCAAGCATGTAACGGACAAGCTGCCGAGGCGCGCTGCCTGCCGGACGCTGAGAACGCCCGACAGTAAGGGGAAACACTGGAAGCGCACAGTTCAAGGTCACGACACCAATGCAGCTGCGGGAGTTCACTTTTCGCAAGGGGTTTGGAAAAGCGACCAAAGCTTTCCTGCTATGCATTGTCGACATATGGAGTACCGTTTTAAAGCTAAAGAAATGCCCTTTCTTTTGAGGGCACCGGGGTTCCAAAATATAGCACCGTCACTGTAATACAAGCCGAGAAAAATCAGTGCGTTCTTCTTTACCCATCCGGTATTCTCGCACAATGTTTCCACTGAAGATCGTTCTCCCCTTCTGCAGAAATTCAGAACTCTGGCTATTATTCTGTTGATAATTGCATTTTTCCCATCCGACTTCGAATACTAATGAATGATTCATATTTCTTTCTCTCCACTTAAGATTCGTCACGCCCCTTTACGTGAGTCCATCCTCGGAGGCAACCGAAACAGACGTCAACTTTCTCACAGACAGGGAATTGGAGATTCTGATCAACGAACCAGTCAAGTCCGTGATCAAAGGAGACTCAGAAACTGAACGAATGAAGTTCATGATGGAAAAGGTCCGGAACATCGTCACGAAATGGTTCTCCAAGAGACCGATCACCGAATCGGAACGTATCCTCGTCCTCGGAGCCAGACATGACGTCATGGAAAACCTGAGCGCCTCGATGGTAGAATGGATAGTGAGCTCTGCTATCGATGCCTGTTCCACATGGACTAAGATGTCTGCGAAGGAGATGAGGCGACGGATTCAGAATCTAATTAACAAGAACCTAATCTTTTGTGCATTTTTCTCAGACGAAGCATCTGGAGAGGTTCCTCCCGTTGAAGAACCAATGTACGTGCGAATTTTGCGAGGGCTTGATATGCCAAAAATGAAGGCCTTTGTTGACCGACTCAACAAAAGATTGCGAGGTACAACTGAGCATCCTGGCATTCATGAATGGCAAGATATCCGGAAGAGCAATAGAAAGTTTCACCACATCTTTGTTCTTGGGGCTCATGAATTCAATCAGAATTTTGCAGATATTTGCAAACTTCATCTGAGTAAACAAGGATATTTTTGGCTTCTCTGGCCGGAAGATGATCTACCCGACACCTTTGTCGCAGAACTCATTCAATCAGGTTTCATACGGCCAGACAGGAAATCCATACAAGGTGAGATTTAAAAATTTATTGTAAATTCCTGTTCCCAGTTAGTTCAGATTTTTAATTTCCGGTCCGAGTTAGACTCTTTTGAATAACGTTGTTTGCAGAACTGATACGGCATTTCCCTTCGAAAAGTAAACCTTACAAGCACCGTGCAACAGAAGTAGAAATAACTATCCATCTCTCTTGGGCAGCTTTCAATTCTTTCTTTTCAATCGAGCAAAATTCTTTTTCTCCTTACTTCTACGAAATCCTGAGAAGTTACCTACAACGATTTTTTTGCTTGATTTTTCCAAGGCAGTATGCATTGTGGCTGAAAAAGCCAGCACTTTTGCATCTTTTTTGCTGTATTTTGAGGTAAAAAAAGGAAAATTCGATCCACTCTCATGCGGTCAATCAGTTTTTTTAATACTACATTTTATTAATGCCACATTTCTCACTAATACGTTTTTTTTTTCTAAGCATCGATCATAACGGAACCCGAGTAACGAAATCTAGTACTAACTTTCAAGAAGTGAAAATGATATGTTTGCAATGTAAAAAAATGCTTTATTGGAAAGAAGTTTGTAATTCAGGTTAATGCGAGACAGTTGCCTACATCCTTTGACCTAAAATGGGACTTGAATGCCATTTTCTATATTGTCCCTCTGATATTCGCAAGTGCTATGAAACTTCTGGGAAGAACATGAGGGGAGGGAATTAAATATCCTGAGAGGAGAACATGCAAGGTGGAGCAGAGACACCTGACGGTTTTTCAACTGTAATAACAAATGACTGATAGCAGATATATTTTACAGTGATATACTTTTGAATTCTGCATTCATTGGAGAATATAGTTTTCCATACCTCAAATTATTTTTTGAAGATGATGTCCTGCTGGTGGGCTCCTTCGCGGTCGATGCCTATAAAATAAATCTGCTATCAATATCGATATTAAGTGAAATTTATTTCCTCGAAAAAAATATCCTGGCGTATTACTTCCACGAGGATGTATCAAATATTTTAACCCTTTCGGAGTCATCCTGAGGACGTACTCATCATGCAACTGCCTGCGTGCTTTGCGTTACCCCGAGTACGTACTCGTCCTAACGTCGGCGCGTAGGAAATTTTTTTGCATTTAAGTGTGTATTGCCAGCGAAATCTGTTGGCGGAAAGCTTTCCATTTTTGAACAGCCTATACTTTAGGATTTGGGTAAATGTTATTTCCTTCCTAATATCGGTTTTCCCAACAAATTTCGACAAGAACCCATTCAAATACGGCAGCAGTCGTTTCAGTTTCGGCAGCGCAAGGGAATATCTTGTTTTTGGTAATTAACATGGGAATGAGGAATAAGGAAGGAAAGGACACAAATGCATAGGGCATTTTCGGCGAATAATCATTATTTTATTATGCAAATAAAACACAGACATTGACACTGATTCTATCTATCGATATGTTCTCTTCTTTTGGCGTCTAATCAACTATGTTAGTGCTTAGCAAAACCACGCAAAGCACTTCTATTTTCTTTTATTTGCCCAACTGATGCTTCTCCTATTTCGAGCAGTTTCTCTGTCCGACTTTGCTGCACGTTCTGTTTTGGTCTTCGTTGTCCAAGTTCTACCTGTGTTTCAGGAATGTACACCTCACTTTGACAGCTGCCTTGAATGCAGGATGGGCATATTCTGTCGGATTCAAGACAGGAGTATATACCGGCAGAAACTTCACGCGAAAGTTAAGAACGTCTTTCTGAGATCGAGGCTCGTTTGTGGGGTCTAGCATTATCCATGATGATATACACTAGTTGATCTGGTGGCGAAATCATGTGTACATGTCTCAGGAGCTCCTCAAAGAATTCCTGGAACATCAACGATGTGACGCGTTCCTGTTGTTCCTTTGAAGTAAAAGATTATTCCAAGTGTCAAGTTCTCGTTGCCCCCTGACGCTTTTCCTTTCACCCCTTTTCGTCCTCGCCATGGGACATGTACCAGCTCCTTCACCTTGGCCCGGAGAACTACTTTCTCCGGTCAGACTCGCTCTTAAAAAGGTGGAAATCTCCGGATATTCAGAGATATTGAGCATTCGCTCAACGCTTCTAGACAGTGCCATCCACGCCCGCCGACTCTCCACATCTCGGCAGAGCGTCTCGCTTCCAGGCAACAGCACTCCAACCATTCCGCCAAATCCTGGTGACCTCCACTTTGAGGATGTCTTATTGAAGGGATTAAACCTTGCTCATGTTGAAATCTTGTCTACCATACTCTACCATGTCCACGTGAGTCTTGGCGCGAACCCAGCAAGCCCCCAACTCATCCAAGTACCCATCAACAGCGCCATAACGCCAACCACGCGACACAAGCATGGAAATGAACACGAACGCATCCTACGTGGAGGACTCACAGCAAGGAGCAGCCGATTTCGAATATTCAGTTCAAGTTTGTCATCTTAGATATTGATATACCCGACAAACGAGCATCGGTTTCAGATGACATTCCTAACGTTCACGTGAAGTTTCTGCCGGCATATCCGCCTTTCTTGAATCCGACAAAACATGCCCAAATCACCCATCAGAAGTGCTTCGCGTGGTTTCACCGTGCACAAACATACCTGATCAGATGACTAAGGAGCGAACTTATCGATGATAGAATCAGTGTCAATGTCCATGTGTTTTGCTTTGCATCTAATATCTAATATATATAGACGATCGTGACTAACTGACTGACTGACGCTAATTCTAACCATGTTCTAGACATGATGAGAGGCTGAAACTTGTGCGAATTTTGCGAGGGCTTGATATGCCAAAAATGAAGGCCTTTGTTGACCGACTCAACAAAAGATTGCGAGGTACAACTGAGCATCCTGGCATTCATGAATGGCAAGATATCCGGAAGAGCAATACAAAGTTTCACCACATCTTTGTTCTTGGGGCTCACGAATTCAATCAGAATTTTGCAGATATTTGCAAACTTCATCTGAGTAAACAAGGATATTTTTGGCTTCTCTGGCCGGAAGGTGATCTACCCGACACCTTTGTCGCAGAACTCATTCAATCAGGTTTCATACGGCCAGACAGGAAATCCATACAAGGTGAGATTTAAAAATTCATTGTAAATTCCTGTTCCCAGTTAGTTCAGATTATTAATTTCCGGTCCGAGTTAGACTCTTTTGAATAACGTTGTTCGCAGAACTGAGACGACATTTCCCTTCGAAAAGTAAACCTTACAAGCACCGTGCAACAGAAGTAGAAATAAATATCCATCTCTCTTGAGCAGCTTTCAATTCTTTCTTTTCAATCGAGCAAAATTCTTTTTCTCCTTACTTCTACGAAATCCTGAGAAGTTACCTACAACGATTTTTTTTGCCTGATTTTTCCAAGGCAGTATGCATTGTGGCTGAAAAAGCCAGCACTTTTGCATCTTTTTTGCTGTATTTTGAGGTAAAAAAAGGAAAATTCGATCCACTCTCATGCGGTCAATCAGTTTTTTAATACTACATTTTATTAATGCCACATTTCTCACTAATAAGTTTTTTTTCTAAGCATCGATCATAACGGAACCCGAGTAACGAAATCTAGTACTAACTTTCAAGAAGTGAAAATGATATGTTTGCAATGTAAAAAAATGCTTTATTGGAAAGAAGTTTGTAATTCAGG